TGCCATAACACGTTACTTTAATACTTCAAATAATTCAAATAATACTTCAGCGCCCCCACGAGGGTAGATTTCTTGCGTTCATGACGTAGCGCTTCATGTAGGCCTACGCATTTTGCGCAGTCCGAAGCTGACAGGTCCATGGAGCCTGCCTGCAGGCGCTAATCTCAGGACACCTCCACTCTCAGTTTCTGAACAGGAAATGCACGCAAATACAAGCCTTTATATTATTAAGGTACAGCGCCACTTTCTGAACCATTGATGAATGCTTGTGTGTACACAAAAACTGCAGGCAAAACCGTTTTAAATGTGTGTTTCCTGTATGGCTGCTTTATTTATGTCTTTATGAAGTTGTTGTGAGTGTGGAGGGAGCAGCTACAGGTTAGCTTAGCCCAGGGGTTCCCAAAGTGCGGGAAGGTGAGCCTCCCCTCAGAGAACATAATCACAGCCGCGCCCCCCCTCCCAATTATTATTATTATTATTATTATTATTATTATTGCTGTTGTTGCTATAATGCAGGGGTATTCAATTGCATTTGAAAGAGGTCCAGTAAGAGAACATTTCATAAAATGCTCTGTTTTCGCTACCCTTCTCTTTTTTGATTGGCTGAGCGTCACCTCCTTAAAACATTAAACAATAGCTTTTTTAAACCTCTTTATCTTTATGTTTTAAACATGTTGAGGTTAAGGATGGCAGCTTCCTCATACGTTGCACTCGGAGAGAAATAGTTGAGACAGAGTTGTCTTTAGCAGCAGGGAGGAGTAACGTTTCACCAATGTTGTGAGGTTTACCTGCCTTAGCTATCCGTAACGCCACTCGGTATGATGCTTCGGTTGTCTTTGTATTCACAGTGCTAAATGTGTCAATGACATTTTTCTGTGACTGCTATTCCTTGAGCTTCCAGTCAAAAAACTCCTGTGGCTTGGTCATCAAACATGGGTGTTTCGCCTCAACATGACGCCGGGGTTTACATGGTCTCATACTGTCATTAGCTAGCACCTCGTTGCAGATAACACACTGTGGAAGTGGAGTGTCATCAGGACCGGTCCATGAAAATCCTAGCTTCAAATAATCATTGTCATACTTCCTCCGTTTTCTGACGCTGTCTCCTCTCTCATTTTAGGTAACTTCGGAATGATTAGTTGTGGCAGGTGCCCGCCGAGCCTTGTGTGTGTGTTTTCGTAGTTAGGCCGCGTATCTACCGTGCGAATGTACGCTTGGTGCAGAGCTGAGTCTGTTTCATAAGCCTGCATTGGGTACGGAGTATGCGTGCACCCACCGCGCGGAGGCTGTTGACAGACGGAGAAGGAAGCGGAGCCGCCAATACCCTGCAGCTGGGTATTTTGTTTTTCGTTATATATGTACGCCGGGCACCCACGCGCGTGGCCGGGACGGACCGAGAGGAGATGGCCGCAGAGTCCAAGTGTGAGTGCCGCGGAATGCCTTGGTCGGGGCAGACCGGAGTGTGTAGGTGACCGAGGAGAGGGCCCCTACGACGAGGACGGAGGTGGCCCTGGACCGAGAAAGGAGGCTCCTGAAGTACGTGCGGCGGCCCCGACCGGGAGCGTGTCGACCGCCGTCGCGAGGAAGGACCGACCCCTGGTGGCCAGAATGGGAAGTGCGGTAGGGTGCGCGTCGTTCGCTGGGTCGAAAGATATGCAGGACCGCTCCACAAAGAAGCAAGCGTGCTGTCGCGATGTACGCCGCGCGTGGGAAATGGCTGCAGAGGGTAAGGCCGGGTGAGGGTGGTGGGCCATCCCTACGGGACGCGAGGAGACAACCCCGGGGATGTGCGAGTTAGGTACGCCAGCGGGAAGGCAGCGGGCAAGGGTCCGGAGTCCGCGGAGTAGACGGTGGGGTGGAGACGGAAAGGACGAGAAAGGACGACCACGAGGGGGCCTGCGCGTCAATAAAGAGAAGTGTGATAAAAAACGTACAAACTTAAGACCCCCCGAAACCACCCCTGGTGAAGATAATTATGTACCCAATTGTATTAAGTGGTGTACCTTGATGTCAACCCCCATAACAAAGCGTGCCTCTACATACCCAACAGATATATTAATACAGGAGGACCGATGAGAGAGAAGAAGGGCCTGACGTGGGCGTGTTGTACAGGAAACCGCCCGAGACTTTATATTCAGGGAAAATGTCTGTATGTACACGTGGCGGAGACTGAAGGGATAGAGAGCGTGCATTGTGATCATTTAAGTCATTGTACTACACTTCGTCGTTTTATACCT